TAAAATTAGGTTTATGCGGTTTTTTTTAAAAAGGGGTTTTTTCCTGAAAAAAACAACGCATCCAGGCTACTTTCACTTTCAAAAATAGAATGTAGTTTAAATGTACCCTCTGTGATATGCCCTGGGTGCTCAACAGGCAGGGGCTGGAGTGGTACCCCCTGCCCGTGCCCCCTTTAATTGGTTAACCGGTTAAACATGTTTAACCGGTTAACCAATTAAACAGGATTTTAATGGGGTCACCAGCACTGGCTTAGATATGATTGGGGTGCAAGGCAGAAGCCAAACCTCAAGGACTTCAGCTCTGGGAAGCAGGGCTCAAGTTACAGGCCCCCTTCCTGGGGCTGAAGCCCTTGGGTTTGGACTTTGCTTCCTCAGTCTTCCCAGGGCAATGGGGCTTTGGCTTCTCCCACCCTTGCTTAGGGCAGCAGGGCTTGGACAGGCTCAGGCTTCAGGCCCCCCTTCCTGGGCTTGTGTAGTAATTTCTGTTGTCAGAAGGTGGTTGTGCTGCAAGTTTGAGAACCCCTGACATAGACTTCTCATGCTTGGTCTTTACACAGTGTTAATACCTGCATGTTAGCCTCCTGCATTAATGTTCCCTTTCCGTTAGCATCAGAACGGGGAAGTTGACAGTCTTCATTTTTATCTGTACAGGTGTCAGATTGTATTTACAGTTCCACACCCCTTTCCACCTTTTCCTAATGCACAAAGAACAAGGTGTGTCATAGCAAATTATGCCTGGGTCAGCATCAGAGCAAGCCCTGTGCACCGAGCCATGCGCTGGAGGAGAGGGGCAGGGAGGCTCAATGGAAATGTTGCTGCCTCTTGGCATGTAGGAAGTCTGAGTGATTGCCATTTTCCTTTTTTAAAATGTTAAAAGTTTTGATAACACCTGCTCTGCCACTATCACATCACCAAAACTAGCAGGCAGGGACTTTCTGCTACTCCTAGAAGCAAAGAAGCTTCATCCGCACCCTCGCTGTTCATGCTGCTGCTTTGCAAATGAATCAGTTTTTAAGTAGGATACTGTCACGAGTCTTTCATTCCCGTTCCAGTCTCGTACACCCAACCTTTGACCAGTGGCAATTTCCTGCCCATCTGCTGTTTTAAAAATGCCCCATTTTAACCTCGCTTGTTTATTGCCCTGGGCTGGCAGTGGTGAGCGGAATGGGCTCTGGCTCTTGGATGAACTCTTGCCCTCCCTCTCATTCTGCCTGTAGGTAGTAGTGCTGCTTGCAAAGTCCAGTTCAGCCACTTGCTTCATTATCCTTAATTTCCATGCAGGAGCAGAGAACAGGGTTTTCAGTCTTCGCACTAATTGACTTAGTGTGCAATTCAGAAGGATCCCAAATGTCTGTGGGATAATGAGGTTTTATTTAAATAAATAAAATTTCAGCTCCTTTATTTGGGGGAAAAATACTCAAACCAAACCCTAATCTAGTTTAGAATGTAATTGAATATGTTCTGCTTTTTATTCCATGCTTAATACCTGGAGGGCTTGGTAAGTGCCACTTTCAATATAAAAACTTCCATTTGATTGAGAAATAATGGGTTGCATTGATTTCACTTGTGTGCAAGTCTAGTGCATTATCCAGAAAGCCTAGGCCTGAAATCCCCTTCAGGGGACACAAGATAAAGTGCCATGCAGTTTGTGATTGTAGAATGGTATCAGGAAGATCTGGCAGCTGAAACTGTGTAGCTTTCAGGGCCTGGCAAAGCACGTCCACATGTAGTGCAACTGCATTCAAAGCAATGCTGAGACCTTGTGTTTTCTGGGAGTCCAGCACTAACCATGAGAGAGCTACATACAATGTTAACCTATGTACAGCGCCCTGACCCTTCATTACATAGGGCACGGTGTCAGGCTAATGCTTCACTCTGAGATGTGTAAGAGCTCCAGAAGTTTCCGAGACATGATCATCTGGCTGCTTACACCAAAATTCTCTACTTGAGGTGGTTTCTGTCTAGTGAAACTAGAATGGGAGGGTGCAAAACGCCTTCTGAAATGCTGCTTTTGTACAGAGGTGATGATTGAGCCTCTTGTCAGTGAGGGTGCCCAGAATTCGCTAGTTGCATGGGCTGTAAGGTGGACTTGTGTCACAGTCCTGTCTCCAGGGCTTTGGCTATGAGTGGAATGTTCAGTTTCTTTTCCTACAAAATGCAGGACTATGTAGCGCTTTAAAGACTAACAAGATGGTTTATTAGATGATGAGCTTTCGTGGGCCAGACCCACTTCCTCAGACCAAAGCTCTGAGTAAGTGGGTCTGGCCCACGAAAGCTAAACCATCATGTTAATCTTTAAAGTGCTACATAGTCCTGCATTTTGCTTCAGCTACACCAGACTAACACGGCTACACTTCTATTACTGTTTTCCTACAAACTGGTTTTAGGCTGAGAATCAGGAGCGAATCGAGGCCCGGAAGGAGAAGCAGCGAGAGCTAATCACGCAGCTCAAGACGCAGCTAGATGACTTGGAGACCTTTGCTTACCAAGAGGGCAGCTATGATTCACTACCACAGTCCGTGGTCATGGAAAGACAGCGGGTAAAGCCTTTGGGTTCTCTGCCTGGGCCCTTAACGACTTTCTTATGGTGCCTCTTTGAGAATGCTAGCATGTGGCCAGAGCTGATTCAGGCAGCTGTAAAACATCATCATAACTCTTTCTGTACCCATGAGTATCATCCGTAGGGACTACTACAATTTACTGTTAATGGACAGAATAAAGCCTGGATTAGCTTCACCCCAAATGAACTTGTGGGTCAGTGATAGGGATGTAAAATCCCGTTTAATTGGTTAACTGGTTAAATGTGAAGGTTAACTAGTTAAGGGGGAGGGGGATATGCTACTCGCCCGGGTTGCTGCAGACAGTAGCTGCTCCGGACACCCGGACCACTGCCGACGGGCTGCCCTGCCTGTGATGTGCTCAGGGTGAGGCAGGCCCCGGAGGGCTGGAGCAACCCCTGCCCATAGCAGATGGAGAGCTGCTCCAGCCCCCACCAGTTAATCAGAATCGGTAAGTATCACTGGTTCAGGGTGATACTTACGGGTCAACCTTTCATATCCCTGGTCAGTGAAAGCAGCATTCTGGCTCCGCAGCTGGGAGGGCCACATGGGAACATGCCACTCAATAGATGTAATGTTCTGCAGGTTGTTATAGAGGAATTAATAAAGAAGCTGGATATGAACCTGAATGAGGATGTCGCATCACTGTCCCCCGAGGAGCTGCGGCAGCAAGTAGATGCAGCTGTTGCCCAGATTGTGAATCCAGCGAGGGTGAAGGAGCAGTTGGTAGAACAGCTGAAGACCCAAATACGAGACCTGGAGATGTTCATCAACTTCATTCAGGGTCAGTGCTGGGTTTGGCTTAGATAACCAGGAAGGTTGCTCATTGGTGTATGGACTTCTCCATGGTGAGACCATAGCGTATGGAGAACCTGGGACACTGAGAGGCGTGATGCAGAGAGGCAGGAGGGTGCCCCCTGTGTAGAGGAATATGAGGCAGTACTGCCTTACAGCATGAGATATGTAGCCTAGATCTTCCAGCTGACATGAGGATGCAGAATAACAACCTGTTGTCATTGTGGGTTCTTCATTCTAGATGAAGTCGGGAGCCCTGGCCAGGTGGAGGATGGACCCTGTGAATGTTCAGGCAGAAAGCCTGGAAGCGGCCCCTACAAACCAAATGCCAGGTTGCATCATGGGAATAACAGAGGTGGGAAATTGACACATGTTTGGTTCTTATTGCTTCTCCCTTTTTTTTCAGGTGACTTCCAACCTGCGGGAACTGGCATCCTATTGCTTTATAAATTCAGTGTTGTTTTTCCTGTGTTGAGTGATTTCCCTTACCCTCTCATTGATCCAGCCCAATTAGCCAGAAACCTCATTTTTTAAACTCATACCTTTCCCTGCTGGCCAGTGTGATCGTACAGTGAATGTGCACCAACACATTGAAGGATCGGATTGCTTTTTGACACAAATGAAGGGCTCCCAGTAATTATCTAGCAGCAGACAATGCACAAAAGGTACCATGCAGTCTTTCCTGACATACCCAGTCTTGGCCTGCATACTTCCATCTGGCCTAGTCCTGGTCTTCTCATCAGCAGAAATCACTTGCTCGTGGATCTATTGTTCCTTATAGATTACAATGAGATCACTCAGTTAAGAGCTTGATTTGGTCCTGGGTTCTGGAGTGAGCAGGACAATTTATTCCCTGTGGTAACTAGTTCTCTGCACAACTTTTCTTCCACAAAAGCTTCTGGCATCCTGTAAATATCCACAGATCAGCCTGAAACCCCCTTCCCCACTCCCTAGAGATCTTGAAATTCTACTGTGGTCACTTGTACCTGCTGAAAGAGCAGCCATAGTAGGATTCCTTCTCTGCCACATGGTTTACAGTGGATGATGCGGTGTGAGAATGGGACGCATGAATGTCTGAGGCCCCATTTTCCAGTTTGCAAGAGTATGAAATGCTGCCGCTGTCTCTTGAGCAAGGCGGTAGGAATCACCCAACCAGCAGCACCATAGCCAGTGCATCCCCTAGTGGAGAGGGTGAAGAGCTCTCTGTGGATAGGAGCAAGCATTGATCGATCTGATTCTGTAATAATTCTTCTTCCCCTAACCAACCAGTGAACCCAGAGGACGCCAGAAAGATGCGAGAAACAGGCCTGCACCTTATGCGCCGCATGCTTGCTGTGCTGCAGATATTCGCTGTCAGTCAGTTTGGCTGTGCGACTGGTCAGATCCCCCGCACGCTCTGGCAGAAGGACCAGGCCAATAAGGACTATTCTCCCTTAATTAAGAAACTGGAACTGTCTGTAGACCAAGTGAGGCAGCTGGCACTGACGTACCAGCTCCAGGATCGTGAGCTCAGCTACTCCACCATGCAGGATGTCCCCTTAGGAGGGAGAGATGAGCTGACTCTGGCCGTGAGGAAGGAGCTGACTGTTGCCATCCGAGACCTGATGGCTCACGGGCTCTGTGCCTCTTCTCAAGGCATGAGCTTGGTGTTGGCACCCATTGCATGTCTGATTCCTGCATTTACCTCGTCGCCACAGACCATGCACCCCTGGGAGCTCTTTGTGAAGTATTACAATGCCAAGAACGGCCGCGCCTTTGTGGAGTCCCCGGCACGCAAGCTCTCCCAGTCTTTTGCCCTTCCTGTGACAGGAGGCATCACCGTTACCCCCAAGCAGAGCCTGTTGACGGCTGTTCACACTGTCCTCACAGAGCACGATCCATTCAAGCGCAGCGCGGATTCTGAACTGAAAGCCCTGGTGTGTATGGCATTGAACGAGCAGCGCCTCGTCTCCTGGGTGAATCTGATCTGCAAATCTGGGGAGCTAATACACGCTCATTATCAGCCCTGGAGCTACATGGCCAACACAGGCTTTGAGAGCGCACTTAACATTCTCAGCCGCCTGAGCAACTTGAAATTCAACCTGCCTGTTGACTTGGCTGTCCGGCAGCTGAAAAACATCAGAGATGCTTTTTGATGTGTCCTTTGTGTATCAGTCCCCTTTCCCCAGTAGGAATGTATTAACTTACTAGCCTAGAGGAGGAGTCTTCTTTCTGACCAAACGTATCCCTTTGGAAGCTGATTCTGGCTATGAGGGTAGCAGTTTAGTGTCTTAGCACTGGAAACCTCTGTTACAAGACTGCCTGTGGGGAAATGCTGCCGATGTTTGGGTTGGGCACAACCTCCCTCAGGCCTATGCGGATGCAGCTGTTCCCTGCAGAGCTGCTGCTCCCCATCTGTTGGTGCCTTGCCATGGTGTAGTGCATTAGCAGGAGTGAAATGCAATAAGAAGGGCCTGATTTTACAGCCATAGCATCGGAGCTGCTCCCATGGAGGTCAGGGAAAGCGGTTCCTATGCTATGGCTGCATGGTCAACCCCCAGAATTTATATTTAAAAGATGACATTTGTGGCATTTTGCTGTTTCACTCAGAGCTACCTGCGTGAGGCTTTTCGACACACCTTTCTTCTGCTGCTTAGGCTTGATGGAACTTGCCCAGTGGTGGAGTCAGATGTCCCCTCCTTTATGTGTATGTAAATGTTGAAAGTATGTGAGGCCTGGGAACAGTTTCTACAGGAGCTGTAGGTGCCTATTGCTTTATATCTTGCAGCATGACTGACTGCAGAAATCCATTCTTCAGACTGGTGATAGGGGACTGGATTAAGCATTCAGGTACATTCTGGAAGAATCTCAGCTCCCTCTTGGAGCTTGAGTCAAAGTCCTGAACACCATCAGTCCTGGGTTTTGTGGCAGATGCATTGGGTTAAATGCTATAAACAAATATTCCCTTTTCAACTTGCTGTGTTTAACTTGAGTTAATTATTAGCCCCTGTGCTGCAAGAACACTTGCTCATCTGGCTCCTTGTAGAAAATCAATTGTGGCTGTTATAAATGTCTAATATTCCCAGTGTAATTCCGAAAAGCACTTCTGTGGTCAGGGTCTCTTGGCCAGCATCTTTCTGCATGGAGTGGAATTGTTTGTTGTGTAACAATTTTCTGCTGCTCCGAGGGCAAAGCTTCCAATCCTGTTTACAGCTACATCTGCAGTCAAATCAGTCAGCATTGCTGAAGTAGTCATCCGCATGGCATTTAGACTGCATGAGAAAAAATCACTTCAGGCATCAAAGAATTGCAGGTTTGGGTGTTCTGTTCCCTTCAGCTTCCCAGAAAACCATGAGCATCCTGATCTCAGACACATGGGATATAGGTTGGGAGTGACCACTCCATTTATACATTTAATAGCTAGAGGGGGGCTGTCAAAATAGTTTCTTTTGTTCCCCATTTCTCCACTGTTCAAATTAGGGATGATAGATATAGTGTAATTGAATAGTCGTGTAATTGCATGAAATCTTAGTGGTTACATGACTATTCAGTAGTCTTTCGGGGTAGGGCTGGCAGGCAGTGCAATCCGACCTCACTCCTGGGGAGTCTCCTGCCAGCCTGCGCTGTTACCTCTGTATCAGGATTGGCTGCTTGCTGCCCTGCGCTGCTGCCTCTGATACAGAGGCAGCAGTGTGGGATGGCAGCAGCCCCTGTCCGTGGGGAGGTCCGAGCTCCCCGCAGAGCTGACTATCCGTGGGGAGCTCAGACCCCTCTGTGGACGGGGCTGCTTCCGCGAAGCAACTCTGCCTGCAGTGGGCCCAGGCTCACCGTAAATTCTTAAACATTTATATTTGCTAAATTGTTCATTTAGTGGCTTATAGTTACCTCTTTTCTGCTTTTGAGCTGTCTGTGGGTCAATAATAAGGCTCCTTTCCCCCATGGAGGCAGCAGTGAGGGGGAAAGTGGCACCATGGAGCTGGTGCTGAGAACGGGCTTTTTAGCCAGCTTCCCCCCCCAGCACTGGCTCCTACTGCACCCCACCTTTCTGCTTCTTATACATGGAATGTGTGTAGTCAACGAGATTAACTTATCGGTTAATCGTATAGTCGTCTACACTTTGACATCCCTAGTTCAAATAGCTCTGTTTGAAGCTTGAAAAGGAGTATTTCCTCACTGTCACATCCTCTCAGTTGCATGCACAATGTGGTGCAGTAGGGTGGCTGCCTTCAACTTTTTTCTGTATAAAAAGCACTCAAGCTATTAGTTGGGAAAACACCTAGAATTACATAGTCTGATTTTGGACATTGAGCCCATGTGTTCTCATTGAAGTCAATGAAAAAGCTACCACTAACTTCAGAGACCAGAATCTGCCCCTCCCATTAACTGTGTTCTCAAAATTATTTCAATGTTTGGAGCAGAGTGAAATTTGTAGAGCATTATAAGGAAGGTGTTAGTTTTCTTTGAAGGATTAGTAATACATTCCTCCATGTGTTTTTAATGCAGATTTCTACATGCAGAAATAGTTTACTGAAACAGAATGAAAACCAGCAGTGACTCTTCCATGTGTGGAAACTATTTTAGCTTTCAGATATGAAACTTTATGTATTTTTAGAGACTTGTCCAAGGATGAAATTCCCAGCTGATTTACGTAGATTAACTTCTTGTCTTAACAGCTAATTATAGAATTTCCAATGTTGATGGAATATTCCCCATTGGTTTGGCAATTTTTGTCTGAAATCTGTGCATGGTTTTGTCCAATTTATGGCAGATACAAATAAGTTGAAAGCTGAGGCGTCTGGTTGCTACAAAGGCTTTTCTGGGGGGCTCAATGGTTTAATAAAGGATTTTGTCTTCAGGTTGTTCTAATTTTTAGCCCTCTTTATGTTTACAGTGCTATGCTGGAGAAGTTTGGGTCGTGCCCCAGTTTTTCAGGTCTCTGCTTTATTTTATTTCTGATGTTGATTTTGTTCTGATTTTAGGTCTGTATATGTGCAATAGGATGAATGTATTTGTGTTGTGGAGAGTACGGTATCTATTGCTGACAATAAAAGTCCAGGTGGTTTGTGTATGTTGTATTACCTACTTGTATGTCAATAGGTATACTGTTTAATGTACCTTCTCATTCCTTCTATACTTCGAATCTTCAGTTCATACTTTCCTTTATAGCTTTGTCTGCAGCACCATTATTTAGGAACAGAATGGAGGTTAGATCATTGGTAGCTTAAAAAAAGGGGAAGGTCGGAATGGACACAAACGGGGAGTGAGTCAGATTTCTTAATAGAGGAAAAAAAAAACTTATTGAAGACCGGGTGTTCCCATCTCATGTGCTGTTTTGGGTGATGAGGAAGAAGGAAAAAAAAACTTCTTGAAGACCGGGTGCTCCCATCTCATGTGCTGTTTTGGGTGATGAGGAAGAAGCTCCTTTGAGGCATGGATTGTCAGTTTAGAAATGGGCATGGCTGTCTGAAGTAATACCTCTGATGACAATGAAAGAATTGTCAGTTTAGAAATGTGCATGGCTGTCTGAAGTAATACCTCTGATGACAAATGGAAAAAAAACCTGAATTGAGGGAAATATTACTTGGCTGAGGGGAAGGGGGTGTATGCATCTGTACATGGGGCATTAGAAATTTTACCTGCCCTCATTTAAAGAGACCATGGGGTGGAGTAGGATATTTACAGGGAGGCTGGGGAGTTAAGCCCCCTGGAAAGCTGCCCTATGAAGGTGCAGGGGCAGCTGTAGCATGGGGCACCCTTTTACACGCATTGAAACGTGCACGGAGGGGTCTGCCCCTTAGAGCCAGACCGGGCTAGGCCATACTGGGCCCTGTGTCAGCTGCACGGGCCCAGAGAGACCAGGGCCGCTGTGAGGTCGTGATCCGCTCCCGCCGGCCGCCAGGGGGCAGTTTGCGCCAGGCTGCAGGGGAAGGTAGCGGCTAGCGATCACGTGAATGCGCGCTCAGTGCGGGAGGAAGCGGAAGTCAGGTGTCTGGAATCACGGGGTGAAAGGTCGGCGAAGCGGCAGCTCCTTCCTTTTCCGGTCTGGGCGCCATCGGAGCCGGGGCCTCGGGGAGTGGTGAGGGTGGGGCGGTGGGGCCCTGCCGGGTGCGCTGGGGAAGGGTCGCTTGTGGCCGTGAAGGGGGATGGGCGCTGAGTGCTTTGCCCGGGCGGGGCAGGAGTGGGGTCCGCCCGGTGGCCTCCTCCCGGAACCCGTGCTGGGCGGAGGGGCTGAGAGCTCCCGCTCTCTGTCGGGGTAGGGGCTCCCGGAGGGTGGGTGTCTGGTGCGGGGCTGGGGACATTCCCTTGGGGCATGAGGGAAGTTGGGGACCCCCATTGCGCGGGTCCTGGGCTGCTGCCCGGTTTCTCATGTCTGCTTTTTTCTGGCAGAGATGGGGAAGTTCATGAAACCCGGGAAGGTGGTGCTCGTCCTGGCTGGGCGCTACTCAGGGCGGAAAGCTGTCATCGTGAAGGTAAATCACCTGTTCGGCCCAGCTCACCCAGTCTACAAGAGCCAAGCAGTCACATCAGATGGTGGCAGTCTTATGTCTCAGTCCTTCTGCATGGTGCTGAAAAGCAGGCTGGGCCGGCATGCCGGACTTTGCCTGGCGTGTGTAAGGGAAAGGAACACCTGCCATTTCGTGAATTCTTTGATCCCATCCCATTGGTGACATGTCAGTGATGTGGGTCATACTTACAGAACTGTAGTCTCTCACCAGCCCTCGTAGTGGGGATTTATGGGTTCTAATCTTCAGTTCTGCCACACAATTCTGGTGTGGGTTAAATCCGCCCTTGTAGGCCTTAGTTGCTGTGTATGTTTAGTGAGATTTGTGAGGGTTTGTTTACATTTGCTGAGTGGGTCATGTAAGGGCCCATGTATAGACATTACTGCTGCATTGGGGTGTTAAGGATTGTCAGTGGTTATGGCACTAATCTAGGACTTGGGGGAGAGCCTGAGCCAATTTCCTGTTGTTACAGAATTGCTTTTGGATCTTAGACAAGTCACTGAATCCCCTTGGGGTGCAGCTGCGGATGTGATTCTCAGCAGGAGTCAACAGGCTCTCACAAGCAACCTGAGCTTGAACCCAGGAGCTCAGATGGACTTGGACTCTGGTGGCAAGCCTGAGCTGCAGTCCATGTAGGAGTGTCCGTGCTGTTACCTTTAGTACACTTGCTTGAGCAGAGTTAGCATGCATCTGTCTACTTGTGCTGGGAATCCAGCTCTGGAGGCTTTGTCTATACTTACCTGGAGATCGATGCTCTGGAAATCGATCTTCCGGGGTTTGATTTAACAGGTCTAGTAAGGACCCACTAAAGTGAACACTAAGGGTGCCCCTGTTGACCCCAGTCCTGAGGAGCAACAAGTTTCTCCCATTGACCTCCCCCAGTGGGACCACTGCGGAAATTCTCATAGCTGAAGTTGTGTGTATCAAGTTGAATTTCTCCCCCAGCATAGACCTGGGCTCAGAAGCTGTGCAGGGATAATTTCTGCCTGTTTCTCACAAATAATAGCACTGCTACTCACAGAGGTAGTGTGAGAATAAATATGTTAAAGATCATGAGGTGATCTGATCTTTCAGTGACAAAGGCTGGGTAAGCACCTAAGATAATTCAACATCTGCTTTCTCTCGGTGTTACGTATGAGCATCTGAAAACCTGTTTCTCCATGTGCTGCTTCTCCAGAGCTGAGAACAGAGATACCTAGAAACATTAACTCCTAGAACTAGGTAGTTGAGGTTGCTGCATGCACTATTCATGGGAGTTGCATGCTGGCAGAAGAGAAACCTCTACACATTTCCTGGAATACAGTGTGAGCATTCTAGGGACTACCCCAGAGTCTTAAATTAATCAGGCTATAGAAACTTATCTGTTCAAAAGGTAAAAAAAAAATCTATGGTGACCTCCCAGAATCCAGGTGTGTGTGTGTGTGTTGCTAACAAGTCTCCTGTGTATTTTAGAATATTGATGATGGCACCTCCGACCGACCCTATAGTCACGCCCTGGTGGCTGGTATCGATCGGTACCCACGGAAGGTAACTGCTGCCATGGGCAAAAAGAAGATAGCGAAGAGGTCTAAGATCAAATCTTTTGTGAAGGTTTATAACTACAACCATCTAATGCCCACCAGGTGAGCAGGCTTGGCTCATTGTAATGCTGCTAATAGAACTAGTAAAAGGCTTTTAGTGTGCAGCATGGCAAAAGCAGCTTTTCTCTCTGGTAAAGCCGTAAAAATCTACTCCCCTAAGATTTCCTTGGTTATGTCCTTGTGCAGCTCAATGAATAGATTTGCAGGATGCTGGCATTGGTGGCCAGTGATAATTGGCATCGGGAGTCAGAAGTTGGGGTAGGACATTGATGATTTTTCCCACCCCTTTATCTTCATGATTCAGGTTGATGCTTACTATGGGAGAGGTCAGTGAACACATTCTAACACATTCTCTTATCCGTAGATGATGAGTCCTGTGACACCTTAAAGACTAACAAATATATTTAGGCCAGGGGTGAGCAAGAGGCTGCCAGCTGGCTGGATTCGCCCTGCCGTGCCACCAGGTCTGGCCCGTGGCCCCCTCACTGGAACCCTTAGGCAGAGATCAGTTTTAGAAAGCCAGCTATTCTCCACTGGGGAGGGAGATTTCTCATGCTGTTCCTTCCCCCCCCCCCCCCCCCCCCCAGCAAAATCTCTTAGCTCCCATTGGCCAATCTGTTTCCGGCCAATAGGAGCTGAGAATTTTTGCTGGGAGCAGGAGTAGTGTAGGAAGTCTCCCTCCCTCCCTTTCCCTCATGTCTGGAGCAGAGCCACCAGGAGCAGCGAGCAGCCTTCAGCCAGAGCCCTCCTCTGGCACTCCAGCCACTCTCCTCCCCCCCTCCCCCCACATATACCCAAACCTTCTGGTCTCTCCTGCATCCATACCCTCTCCCAGATCTGGCACCCCAATCTCCTGCCCCAGATCACAATCCCCTCCTAGCCTTGGTCACATCCCAAAATCCTGCATCCCAGTCCCCTACCCTAGGTCATAACTGCCTCCTTCATCCAAACTCCATCCCAGACCCCATTCTCCCTCCTGCACCCCAAATCCCTTACCTCAAGTTCCCCTATGCACCCAACCTCCATCCCAGACTCTGTACCCCCTCCATTTATATCCTGGAAGAGTGTGGCCCTTGACCACTTCCCAAAGTCTTGGAGTGGCCCCCCATCAAAAATTGTCCACCCCTGATTTTGGCATACATTTTTGTGGGCTGTAGCTCACTTTGTTTGCACACAATGGAAATTTCAGTTTGGCAGGTGTGTATACACAGGCAAAAATAGGAGTGTTGCATTACTATGCTGAGTACCAGTGCTAATGGGGTCAGTTCAGTCAGGTTGGATGTGGCCTGTTCCCAGCAATTGCTGAGAAGATGAGGATGCCAAAATGGGGAGTAATTTTCATGCATCTGAGGGAAGTGGGTTACAGCCCACAAAAGCTAATGCCCTAATAAATGTTTGTCTTTAAGGCGCCCCAGGACTCCTTGTTTTTGCTAGAACAGACTAATACAGCCAACCCGCTGGAACTTCTCACATGCATTTCTTGTGGCACTGGCCTTTATTTTAGGGCTTTCATTTTTTTTCCCCTTTGGCTGGCGGCACAGCCTGCCTCTTGTAAGCTCTGAAGAGGATTTGTAATAACAATACGACTTGGGATAGGGCCTAGAGATCTACTGATGGAAAAAGTTATAGAAGGAGCTGAGTACTTGGGGACTGTAGCTGACCCAGCATTTCATGATATGGACTGCTAGTGTGTGCTGCTGAATGCACAGTGGGGCAAAGCAAGGCTACTGGGCCATTAGAGGTGCTGGCCTGACTGTCTCCTATGAATGTTTCAGTTCCACCACTCTGGGCTGGCGGGGGACATGCACTTCAGCTAGCCTCCTGCTCCATGCTTGACAGCCTGGCATGTGGGTGAAATGCGTTGAAGGATGTTTCAAAGCCTGCTGTGCTTTCTCTCAGGTATTCTGTCGATATTCCTCTGGACAAAACCGTTGTCAATAAAGATGTGTTCAGGGACCCTGCCCTGAAACGCAAGGCAAGGCGTGAAGCCAAGGTGAAATTCGAGGAGAGGTGAGTTGGGGAATTTTTTTTCCTTCCCCCAAGCTGCTTTTCACCCCTTTATTGAACAGAAGAAATCGGTGTGTGATGGCCCGCTTGCTTGTTCTCATTCTCAAGTGAAGCGTGTCCAGCCTGCCTGTTGTTGGCTAGGAGAATCCTAGCGTGCTTCTGAACAGAGCTCCACTGGGCCTGCAGCGACAGTAACAAAGTCTGGTTGCTTCAGCATGCTATGGCCCTTTGCATGAATTGTAAATTACTTCCAACTTAGGATGCAGCCTGGTGTTACTGTTTCTCGCTTGCTCTCCTTCAGTGTGCACTTGTCCCTTGCCAGGTGGGCTGCATTCTAGTGGCAAGGGCGGGATTCCTGCAGTGTTTTATGTGTAGAAGCAATACTGCCCTTGCATGAGTCCAGGGGCGCATATTGCAGGGAACAGCCTTGCCCAGTGCAGGGGGAAATAGAACCTTAAAGGGACTGTGTCCTCATTTTGTTACTGTGGTCTACTAACATCCTGCTCCTGAGTTACCTGTTAGCTGCATGTCGCAGGATTCCCTCCCCTATGGACATGACTCCAGGGTGGCCTGGTTGCATGAACAATTACACTAATTGATATAGGCCACTGAGAAGCCAAATCAGTGTCCCTGAGAGAGGAAGTTATGTGACTAGCATCCCCCTGAACAAGCCGCAAGCATCATTTCTTGGGGCTGCCTGCAGAGGGAGTGGTGGCTTCTTCAGCCAACCTGGCTGCCTTGGCTCCTTTGTTAGCAGCAAGCTTATGCTTCTGTGTCTGCTCTGACCTCTCACCTGGGGCTGTGCAGGTAACAAGGCCAAAGGTAGCTAGTGGGAATTGCCACGGTCCTGTTGTGCCCTAGTCCCCTGCCGTTTGCTAACTATAAAGGGTTAATGAGGAAATCATAGGCCTTGTTTTGCTTGGTTTGGGGCACAGCTCTCCATGTTGCATTATAACCACACAACCAGCTCTGCCCAGGGAGATGCTGTTGTACGTGGTGGGGTGGGATTCCCCCAGGGTGGGCACCGGTGGTGAGATTTTGCTTCTCGCCTTCCAAAGGCTTGTCACGTCTACTAGCCGGCTTGCTCCACCTTCTGTGGCGCTTCGGATGAGCCCAAAGGAGACCCTGCCTGACAGTGAGGTGGCTCCCTCTGCATGAGGCGCTGACTTGAGTGTTTTCCGAGTTCTCTCTGGCCAAGAGCAGGATTATGGGCTGGGCTTTGAGCTGTGGGTCCAGTGTGGCCAACCTGCCTGGCTGCAATGCCCTGGGAACAGATTCTGGGTTTGACTCTAGCAGGTGGTGGCTGAAGAGTCCCATGTGAGTTTCCTCTGCAAAACAAACTTATGGCAGGCAGCTGCTCCAGAGCCCGACTCAGGCTGGGAGACGTGAGTGTTACTGGCCCCTTAGATGGAAGCTCGTTCAGGTTGCTGGTGCCAGGCTCTCGCTAATGTGTGGATTGTGCCTCTCTTTCAGATACAAGACCGGCAAGAATAAGTGGTTCTTCCAGAAGCTACGATTCTAACCTTGTCACATGGCTGCATCAATAAATGTTTATTAAAAAACCACATTTTGTTGCCCCATAAAATGCCCCCTGGTGTGAAGCATCTGGCTTTGCTGTGTCACTGTCACTTGCTCTGTGCTTCAGTGAGTAGGCTCGCAGGGGTAATTACACTTCAAGTCAGCCAGGCAGAGAGTCATGATGCATTAAATGGAATTCAATATGAACTGAAGTGGCTGAGAGAGCTGCTCTAAGTGTTCTCTCTGGACCTGCCCTCTCCATGCAGCGTTGGAAGATGATGGAAAAAAACCCGGCTCCCCCTTTCCCACACTGGAGGTGGGGCTGTCTAAAATGCTCTGAAAGTGAAATAGGGTCACTTGAGGGGAAGGTGGGATCCTGCTATTCGAGCTGGCTGTGGTGACAGCAGTCATTTTTTCTAATTCCCTTTTGTTCTTGACATGGCAAGTGCCACCGGTGTCTGATTCAAATACATGGCTGACCTTTCCGCAGATGCAGATAAAGGAGAATCTAACAGCGAGGTGGTGTGACCTCAGCAGTGGGTAGAAGTAATTTACAGGCACCTGCTTTAGTGGGTTTATTGTGCAAAAATTACATGTTCCCCATCTTCATCAAAACGGTTTAATGAGCAACTGAGGGATGACTGGTCAGAGGTGCCTTTGGGACTGAAGATTAGCAACAGACCAATAAGTCTCCAATTCTTTTCTCACATGCCCCTCCCTCCATGGCCAATGTGGACTGCAGGTGGCCAGACTGGGATGTTCCCAATGCTGGCAGAGATGGTCTGAGGCTCCCACCGCTGAAGGGGTGTGTGAAACTTGATGCACTTCTGGTGCCTTGGGGAAGGGGATGCACAGCTGCTGCCGGCTAGGTGGGTGGCTCTCCGCACCCTACTGGGCTGTGAGTTGATTTCAGGAGGTCCAGCAAGCAGCCCCTGCTTCAGCAGAAAGCCCAAGACCCACTGCATAGGGCTGAAGGCTGGAATGAAGCCTGAGCACTGAGGTGGCGGCTGGCCCATGCTTTTAGATGTGAAAAGCCAGCTGGGGCAGGGAGAGTTTAGTTAGGGGGGGAAGGTTGCAAACCCCACGGGCCTAAATGCTCTTTGTGAGGGCGGCGTTCCTGGGTGTCCAGCCCCCGCCTTGGGCCTCGTTTCGCTTGGGGTGGGTGCTGATTCAGTCCCGGCGTGACTCCCGTGTGGACGTGTTTGCTCCGGAGCCAGCACCTGGCTCCTACTGGGGCCCCCTGCAGGCCCTCCCTGTGCTAGGGAGAGGCCGGGATGGTGGCGCCGGGGGCCGGGCTCCGCTCCGGCCGGGTGTGCGGGACCGCGGCGGGCGGGGCAGGGGGAGGCGGCCGCGGCCGGGAAGCGAAAGTGAAAGGGGGAGAGTCGGAGCCAGGAAGCGCCGCTGCAGCCGGTGAGTGAGGCTGCAAATTCCGCGTTGCGCCCTGCTTGGGCTACTGGGGGGGGGAGCCTCCTGCCCTGAGCTCCCCAGGGTGCGCCCTGCCCTGGGATCCCAGCATGCTGGGGGGCTGCCCTTAGCCCCGGGTTGCTGGGGGCTCTCAGGGTGCTCGGAGCTCTACTCCTTGCCCTAGATCTCGCCGTAGGGTGGAGTGAGGGGGTGGTACCGTGCACCCCTTTTTTACAGTCTCCCAGTGCTCTTCCCACTGGGGGGGCTCTCTGTGCCCCCTCCCTAGGGTCTGGTACAGCCCCTTCCTCACTGTTCCCAGCCCACAGAGGAGCTGGGGTGAAGCCCCCCCTGCTTGCCATTGGATGCATCCTCTCCATGGATTCCTTCCTACCCTGCGGGGTTGGAGTCCTGGCACCAGGAGCAGGGCCCGTTTGCCCTCCACCCCAGGGTTGGTCCCAGGTTGGCATTGGGGAGCCAACCCTCCCTCTAGGCTGCATTTCCTGTCACTCCTGGGCTCCCTGGCTGTCTGGTACCTGCAGGTGAAGGGCAGGGCTAATGGTGGAGGGTGGGGAGGAGTCCAGAGTGACCTGTAGTGAACTTGGGTTGAGTGCTCAATATCACCCCCAAATCCTCTCTCCCCGGCTCCCTGAACCTGCAGAAATGCTCCACGCTGTGGAGATTGGCAAGTCAGTAGGTCAGTGTATGCTGGACTCCCACATGGCCCCCTGGCCCATGTCACGAGAGAGCTGCTCCTCAGTGGGATGCCGCTGGACCTGTGCTCCCTGTAAGCTGAATGCTCGGGCGGCCACCCAAGAGAAATGTAAATGCCACCCTGCTGATTAGCAGAGCGCCCACAGCAGGCAGCATGTGTTTCTTCTGCACATTCACATGCACTTTGGTGCACATAACAAAATTTATTGTGCGCTTTGGTGCACGTAACAAAATTTATTCTGCACACATATGGAAAAAATGAGAGAACACATTGCGCTGGACCCTTTCCTCCGGGAGATTCAGGGCAGGGTGATTTTGGTGCCAGATTCTGACGCTTTGGTGCTTCCTCCCCCCAGGTGTGAGTGACACAATGACGGATTCAGAAGAGGTAACTGGCCGCAAGAGGGCCATTCCCTGCCCTTGGCTGTTGAAAGCCAAAGTGTATTTAACCGGAGAGTAACGTTTCTCGGGGCGGGGGGATGGGTTGTGTGAGGCCTGGTCTTCACTCGGAAATGGGGGTGGCATGACTCTGTCGCTCCGGAGTGTGAAAAATCCGCTCTGTTGAGTGATGCCGTTCACCCAACCTAGCCCCTGGTGTAGACAGTGGCTCTCCCACCGACATGCTGCCCCTTGGCGGTGGATCACCCCTCCCGACCGTGTGGGCAGCGTCTTCACAGAGGCCCAGCTGCAGAGCTTTCAGTGTAGACGAGCACTGAGAGAAGGAGCTCGGTGCACAGGTGTGGTAGGAGCCAAAGACAGCAGAGAAGTCTGGTTCCAGCAGGAAAGTTCCTCCCCGCACCCCCATGTGGATGCTGGCTCCACTAGAAATGTCAAATCCCCCTCAGTCTGTTAACCATTAGGTTTAACTAGTTAATCAATTAAGCAAGATCCCAGGCTGGGCACCGATTCCTGTCCCGGTGTGGTGCAGGGCTGGTTAATGGCGCCGGTTAACCCTTACCCAGGAAGGGTGATGTTTACCGGGTAACCAGTTACCCATTCGCACCCCCAGGCTCCACCCCCAGCTCTTTGGCTCCACCCCTGAATTCTGACCCATGTCTGGAGGAGCTAGGGAGCTCACAGGGGCTGGTGCCTAGCAGGGCCCACGAGGCAGCGTGCGGGCTCCGGGGTCACTGGCCTCTCTTGGCTTGTAGGAGTCCTTTGTCCGCCTGCCTGATGCGCTCAAACTGGAGAACGGCTCCCTCGCGATGAGCCCCGAACGCCTGCAGCAGGAGATAGAGAAATTCAAGGTGGGTCTCTGCCCCGGCACGGCGGGTTGAATAGCAGCTTGCCTCAGGGCCGATAGCGGGATGGGACGGGCTCACAATGCGCCTATGAGCTACCGGTCCCCTCGCAGGGCGCGGTTCGCCGAGGCCCAGGCAGTTCTGGGCTGGCAGTGCCCGGGGGGAGGAGCTGTGCCCCCGGCACACCCGCCTGGGACAGGCTGGGGCTGTGCGGGGTTGTACGGCAGAGGGGGAGTCTGACGTTGCCTTCGGTGCCTCTGCCAGGAGCAGCGCCACGTGCTGGAGCAAGATGGGCTGGAGCTGCGTGCGGCGAAGGAAGCCGCGGAGCGGAAGACCCGAGGGTTCCAGAAAGAAGCCAAAGTGCTCCGTGAGAAACTGGAGCGCGAGACGTCTCGGAGCAGGGAGCTGGAGCCCCCCTTCCAGGCTGGTTTCTCCGAGTGGGCCTTTGCATGCTGCTCGCCCCAGGGGCGTTTCGTCTGAGCCGAGGGACTGTCCCAGAACGGCAGCAAAATCCCGCACAGAGGGCCACCTCTGCCCAGCAAAGTCCTAGGGCTGGAGCAGCTGGGGGTGGGGGCAGGGCCATCAGCAGTAGGGATGTGGACGGTTAACTGGTAAGCATCGCCCTTATGGGTGATGGTTACGGGTAACTGGCAGGGCTGCCCCAGGCCCGTGGGGCGGGGGGGGGTGGTTCAGCCCG